GACTCTTCGTGACCCCATGAACCATATTGTGCCAGGCCTTCCTGTCCTTCACTGCCTCCCTGAGTTTGCTCAGTTTCATGCTCATTGCTTCAGTGATGCTATCTAAATCTTAAGCATAATCAGGCTTATTTCTGAGTAAGCTATCGTAGACTTAGTTATCAAACAGTAAGCCAAGACACTTTAACTTGGCAGGGAAGAGAAGAAGCTCCTGAGCTCTTTAATAATTTTGCTGAACTGGCGGAGTTCGACTTTTGTTTGTGGCTTTCTGATGTGGGTTGGGTGCCTCTAACAGCACAATCCTGGGAAGGTTTATTCCATAGCCTGCAGCTTATGCCAGTGCTGTTGACTATGGTCCCCTTCAGTTAATGAAATAGGAAATAGTGTTTGACTGAGCAGGTCTTAAGCTGATTTCCTTCAGCTCCAATGCACAAAGTGTAGGAGAATGGGCTGATTTTCACACATATAGGAATGTTTCGACCTGCAAATCCATGTCCACTTAATTTATTGATCTTTGTCCTATAAACTGCTGGATTGTGGTTTACTCTACCATGGTTCACTGAATAAACAACAATTGGTTGGGTTCACACAACATGCTCAGCTATAACATAATTGGTTTGGTTTGGGTTTAGTTTGTTATTTGAACCCAGTCACAGATCAATTGTCATTTCCTCAAGGTTGAAAAAACAAAAGGTTGATCTGTTAGAAATTTACTAGGACCTGAGATGATTGTTTATTTAGGTCACAGAGTGGTGGTGTTGGCATCTATTAGCTGGAAGATCACCCTCTTTGAAATTGGTGGAACTTATTTTGATATATTGAGAATCCCGGCAAAAATACAGTGTGTGTGTGTGTGTGTGTGTGTGTATTCTATTTACATCCTGTATTTCTAAAAAAATAAATAAATCACATTTTGGTCATGAAGCAGTTTGGGATTGAACGTCAATGTAGGTGAAGTGGAATACATGGTTATTTAGTGTGAGCACAGCTGAACACAGTGGGACTTCTCTATAAACAACCACGACTTCTCAGATATTTCAATGGCTGGTAGCAGAGGCCTCTGTCAGTTAGAAATAGCACCTGTTGAATCCAGGGATTTATTCCAAGTAAGAGGGCATCCAGTTGCAACTAATAATAATAATAATAATAATAATAATAATAATAATAATAATAATAATAACAGCAGCAAA